TATTGGTGAAGGGGAGACCACGAACATCTTATAAAGGATTTCAAATGATTCCTTCTGACGCTTTCTCCTTGTCAGGAGTGAGTTGCTGTTTCTTCTCCCTTAATGGTGCATTGCTCTCTTCTCCCTTCCAAAGGCCAGATTTACATTCTTCCACACATTGTCGTGTATCAGCCAAAGATTTTGCAGCATATACCCCTAGGATTTTTCACTATAAATCCTCACGTTCCCTGAAAACATACTCTTCAGAATAGATGTATCTTTCAAAGCAGTGTGCAAGGGCCGGCCCTATTATTATACAGAGTGCAACCTTCATCTCAAGTAGTGGATAACCCAAGTAGTGGATAACCCAAGGCAGTAAAGTTTTGAGGGAGAGTGCAGTGTACCACATGTCCTAAACTGCCTAAGCTCACTTGCTGTCTTCAGGTGTAGTAGGACCCACTCCATTTAAAAAAAAATCAACTCTCAATCAAGAATCTCTGATCTTTGGTCCAGGCAACAAAATATTTCAGGCTAGCCTTAGCAAAGTGCAGAAGTATTCAATTTTGTATAGATCTGTGGATGTGTCCTATGTGCACAGAACTAATTTTGACATACATGGCTTCTGGATCTCATCTACATGTCTCATTGTCTCATCCCTCTAGCCACAGCATGAAGATGCTACATGACCTCTTTTTAAATGTCTTCCTATTGTTTCCCTTTATCTCGGTGTATCTCATCTGTTTGGGTAATTCTGAGAGTTAAGCCGCCAAGGTTGAGAAACACTACTTTATCTCATCCCAAACTATAGCTGAGGCAGCTTAAAGTCGTATTTAGCTGCTCTAGTTTTAAAGTAGCGTTCCTACTCTTTTCCCAATATTCTTTGTGCCATGGATATGATCCATGATGCACAGCTAGAAGCTAGATCCTATTGGCCACTTTAGGCTTCTGCAGGCATGCTCTCCTCTCTCCTGTTGCTAGTACAGCTCTCCATGGCCATTTTGTCCTGGACTATGATGTCGGTAAAGATACCTGCCCACTGTTTCCTCAGAAACCATGGTTCAGGTAGTATGTGGGTTCTTTATATACAAGGGTTTATTGTAGCTTTCATTTGAAGAGCAGTAGATCTGTATTTTAAAAAGAGGCTCTGTCAAAAGAAAGTGCTAGACAGCACTGGAGTATTTTACTGCGAAGAAGACCAATTTAATAAGAATGAGAGCTAGGTTCTGCCAGCTTTTTTGGGGGGGGGGATTAGCTCTGTCATAGATATATGCAATTTCCACAGCTTCTGTCAGCAGTGAGCTTTATTTGGTCATGTTTTTAAAATATCTTTATTTAATGGGATAGGGATTTGAGCTACTCCTACATAATTTTGCATAATTCTGAGTGTGGCTGCAAGGTCACAACTGCAATTATTATCCATTTGGCCATTTGCTACTAGCATGCACTTGGTCTCTTACTCGCAGTAAACCACAAACAGAAACATTCAGAAATGTCTTTATTATGCGGTAGTCATCCTGTCAATGGAAATAACTACTGTACAGAATTTCACAAGTGCAATTCTGCACGTCAACAGACAGACAATGGACTCAGTGCTGAAGAATTTCATGCAGCTGCATTTCTTTTACATTTATAATATTTTTATTGGTTCTCCGGAGGTAATAAGATGAGGGAGGGATACTGGAGGAGGCAATGTCTCCCATATCTCCTACTCCACCCAATCTTTCGTCCATGAGAGTGAGCTAGTGTCAAGCCCTTTGAGGCTGGCTATTCTAGAATGTTGTCCAGAGCAGGAAACAGATTCTACAAGATAGTTTGAGGTAGTTTCTTTGAGGTCATATCCTTGACTCTATATTGCAGGGGTGTCAAACTCGCAACGTTACGTGACGTGTTGCGACGTATCACGTCTTTTTTTCCATTGCTAGCAATGGGGTGGGCACGGTTTCGGCATGACGCATCTGGCCCGCAAGTCGGTAGTTTGACACCCCTGCTATATTGCAAACTCAGGGAACAAGAATTACTTGGATGTTTGGAGTGATATTTATTGCTCGTAGGCAAATAGAGCAGACTTCAAAGGAACCCCCTGATATAATAGGTCTTCTAGGAGAACTCTTTGCTTCATTCTGCACATTCTACCATATGCCTGTGATCTATCTGTTGGGTCATTTTTGGACAAAGGATACATTTAATGCTCTTTCGAAAATGCACCAGAGTCATATTCAGAACAGAATGATAAGGAACAGCCATAAAGGCAAATAATGGATAAATAATTAGTCCAGGCTTATACCTGCATTCATCCAACTACCCCTGCCACACATTAAGGAGAGTGTTTGCTGGATGCATTTTCCACTGGGAGGTGATGTGGACGGAAGTATAAACCAAGTTGAGTGGTTCTAACCTATTACACCCCTTAAATTGTACTGCATTAAAAATTAAGGACAGGACCATTTGCGAGTCTCTTTACTTAGGCAGAATAGAACTCAATTGCCAGGACAGTATATTTCATGCTTGTATATTTTCTTGTCAATTCAAGGATTAGAAGAAAGCACATTAATAGAGCTATTATGAAGCAAAGCAATGAGTGATGAGCTTTGGGAATGGGCTCTTTCAACCATCATGTTATAACAGAGCCTTAGAAAAGCAGTATCACAGTTTTCCAGAAGTGGCATTTATCCTGTATTGTGTGGAGTAAACCCTGGATGGATTTGGCCTTCATGGACACCATTCAGTAGAACTTGGAATTTAGCCAGTGATGTTCTGTGGAAGAAATGGCAAAAAGTGGAGCCAATGCAGATTAAAGAGCTAGCAAAGGGAGCAGCTCTTCAATAATTCCTCTCTGGATAAGAGGGAACTTGAGATCTCTCACAGGTGTTCCAGACAGCTGCTCCAGATGAGGAGACTGCAAGATAGTAATCTCTAGTGGGTTTTTAGCACGAGGAGATCAGGAGAATCTTGCTCAAACTGTGGTTGGCCCCTTTAAGAAGACACTAAGTCCGCATAATTCCTTTTTAAATCATTTTTGGAAATTGCTTGTCAGCTGCTTCCTAACTATTAGGAACCTTTGGATCAACAAGTTTTTACAGCACCAGGTGAGTTTTCTTCAATTCTTAATGAAATAAATTTTAAATACAAGATTAAGGACATAAAAAATGGAATAAATGGGCAAAAGGGCGATTAAAAGTTTGATTTTAGAAAGTACTAATGGCCCAAGAGTCCAGATAAATTTGAAATAAAATGTTGGAATTAATTATAAAGGATCCTTCCCATGGGAAATTTGTTTTTAATTCCTTTTCAAAAACGTAATACAGGTAGTCAACTTGCAACCACAATAAGACTAGAAAATTCATCATTAAGTGGTACAATCATTAAATGAGGCATCACATGACCCACCCAGTATTACGACCTTTTATGTCATAGTCATTAAGCAAATCACCATGGCCATTAAGCAAGATATCATGTGACTGTGACTTAAGACTTTCCTTGTTGGCTTTCCTATTGACAGAAGCCACCTGGGGAGGTTATAAATAATGATCACATGACCAAAGGATGCTGTGACTATTAGAAATGCGCAACAGTTGCCAAACACCTGAATCATGATAATGTGATCATGGGGACTCTACAAAATAAGTGCAAGGACTGATTATAAGTCACTTTTTTCAATGCCATTGTAACTTTGAACAGTTACCAAACTAATGGATATTAAGCAAGGACCATCCATAATATAACACTTTAAAAAAATTGGACACTTGAGGGAAGTAGAAAGAACTAAAGATTATATTTAAAGGAGAAGAACACTCAAACTCAACTCACAATTACAAAATGAAGCAAAATATGTTAACATTGAACATACTGAAGGGTATTTTTGAACAATGAATCCAGAAGTTAATTTTAAGAATGTCTGCCTCTATAGATAGATAGACCGTGTCTGACAGATGTTATGAAAGAAGAACAAGTTTTACCTGACAAGACTGAGAGTGCTTTAAAAGTGGATTTAAAAATGACAGGCTTCAAGTATGAGATGGAAAAACATGTTACACCGGACATACAAAATAAACTGACGGATGCTTTAATAATTAAAAGGGATGTGCAAATAACAAAGTAAGAGAATGGCCTGGATAACGTTCCTACATTAGATTTGCAAAGGAGACTTGTTAAAGCTTTGAAGAATTTGGGTGAAAAGGGACAAATAAATAAAAAAGTGAAAAGAAATCAAGTACTATACAAGAAAACTATTTGAAGGGACTAAAGAGCAAAATTGTTATAAGTAAAGGGAAGGAATATAAAGTTAATTTATTTAACCAAGTTAAAATAGATAGTTTGTTATCTATTGCAACCCTTAACGGGCTTTTGCCAACATCAGGGCTGAGATGATGAAGCTTTAAGGATTAGTTTATAAACAAGAAATGGGATATGAAAGATCATTTGTTGTATTTAAGAGAAGGTGATAAGTTACTAAAATTGTTTGTGCATTGTGATAAAGGATAAGTCACTTCTTGTATATTTTTCTTTTTCTTTATTATAGTCTTATTTTTCCTTCCTATTTTCTTTGTATTTTTCTCTTTTTCCTTTCTTTTCTCCACTTTTTATTTTTTCTTTTTAATCTTTTATTTTAAAGTTTGTAGTAGTTTTTATTATTGTAATTGCAATCTTTAATAAAATTACTACTTAAAAAAGAACTTAGCCAGTGACATGATATTATTGGGAATTTCTTTTTTAATTCTATTTTAGCAAGATGCTTATGACAAGGTTAGAGTTAAGTTTGGAAGTAATAATAAACAGAAAAACCACGTTGCACGAATATTTGTCATAATTTTAGAGGCAAAGTTTTCTTGTTGCATTTTGTATGTTTCTTTGTTGTGCTTTATGATTGTAAAATACCCTGAACATATGGAGATAAGCTGAATGCACATGCTTATATGCATACATACTACCATCAAACCAACAAGCATACTGGCTAGCACATTCTTGTCTTCAGCCTATTTCAGGTTTACTTTTTTATTTTATATTTCTTTTTTTTCCCCCAGTGATCACTTGCAACAGTGGACAAAGTAGAAGTCCTGAAGGTTAGTAATCTACGGTACTTCATCACCAGGTTCAGTTTTTGAGTCAGGGCAGAGCTTACTTCTCTAACTCTTTCCTCTGAGCTAAAGGAAGCAATCACGGAGGCAGCCGAAGGAGAGAAACTGTAGAGAGTAAGGCAAGATCCTGGGTGACAGATCTTTCATGTCTCCATCAAGGTCATCTTTCTTACTTCTCACAAAAACAGTGGTGGTTGATTGAAAGTCAGTTATCATCCTCCAGCCTCGACTTCTGTAGAGGAAAATATTCTTTATGTCACAAGGCCTATCTTATGTCTCTTTGTTGAATCCCTTAAGCTACCCAGCAGTAGAAATATAAAATTTACTAATTTCGTCGCGTCTCTGTGTGGAATGAGGAGGGGGCACCATTTTATGTTTTGCCTCAGGCATCAAAATGCCAGCCCTGATTAAGGAGCAAGTCTGGGCCTGGTGGGAATTATCCGATGTATGTAAATATGCATAAGCTTCGCTCGGATCTAATTGTCATGAAAGTATGGGAAGTATGTTGATTGGTAAGCTTGTGGCAATCTCAGTTCAGACTTCATTTTGTCTGAAAGGAAAAAGAGCAAGTAGATATGTCTTTTTTAAGACAAATAATGTTTGCTTTTTCGTTTTTACTGATGGCTGTGAAGCCCAGCTCCTCTTAAATACAGTAGGTACCTTTTCTTTTCATGTTTCCATAATAAGGAAAGGCATGAGGTCTATAATGTTAGGGACTGTGAAATCCCACTTACATTGCCTAGCCATGTTTAACCACGGTTTAATAAATAAACCATAATCAGTCCACACATCTCATCGAGCCTAAAGCAAACCAATTATTTCATACACATGCAGTCCCAGCAGCACTGGGAGGAAGAGAGAAAAGACTGCAATGTATCCGCCAGGACCTCAATAATTCCTTTTTTTTTTCTATCCAGAAATGGATTTGAGGCTTAATGGTACAGGCTGCAGATGTTCTGGGTGGCTGGAGGTGCTTCATGCAGCCACATGGAAGAGGATTGACAGCAGAAACTTTACACAGCAGAATGCAGAGCTTGCCTGTGAACAACTTGGTTGCCACTTCCCCTTCGGGATCTTGCAACCATATGTTGAAGAATCGGAGAAGCACGAGACTTGCTTGATGAACTGCCAAGGAAACGAGACAGTTCTCAAGGACTGCATAGCCTGTGATTCCCATGATTTCACCTCTCTGGCTGTGTTCCTAGTTTGTCAAGGTATGTACAACCAACCCCCTTCCTATTTGCATGCTGTCTTTGAACAAAGTCTGGGACATATGGGGACAGCCTCTGGGAAACTGATGTTGTGGTTTAGTTGAATTGGAAACCAGTCATAGAGGACAGAACATGGATTGGAAACCAGTCATAGAGGACAGAACATGGATCTAGCCAGAACATGGATCTAGCCTGTCTTAGGAATTGCAAGAATCTTGCACAGTCACTCTACCTAGGTTTAGGAAGGTTACTCCATTATATGCCTTGGCCCAGAGATTGTGAGCATTTCCACACTGGCACCGCTTCCTTTCCCCCAATCCTTCAAAAGCATTTGGAAGAGGATCTGAGGTTTTTTTCCCCAGCTTCCCAGCATCAGAGCATTGGGGGTATGAAGCAAACAAATCACAACCTCATAATGTGTTGCCTCAGGTCTTGTGGCCATAAAAATCCTCATGGTTCCACTCAGCACAGAAGAGATAGAAAGAAAAGACATTAAGTATGGGTAATTTTCAGCAGTATGCACCCAGCAGACTCCGTATATCCAGATCAGAGTAAGCACAGACACCACTCAGTTCAGTTAGCACATAATATAATTTGACATTTATTTTTTTAAATTCAGCATCCTTCAAAAACAGTTAGCTGGCAATACACAACAAAAGGAAGGCAAAAGCAGAGAGAATGAAATATGATCAAGAAATAAAAAGGCAAAGGACTTAATGCCAACAATCTACATTAACGTATATTTATATATAAAAAAGGCACAGAGCTTCCCAGAGCAATGAAAACGATACAATGGGCAATTAGCATGGACAGTACTAAAGACAGTATTTGGTTATTCTGGATGTCAGCTTTCCTATATACACAGCCAAAGAATAGAAATGGCAAATAGCACATCAGCTGGTCCTTCTTCTGTTTTGCACCATGAAAAAAAGACATGGGTGGACAGGGATAATGCATCCAATATTAGGGACCCAGACTGTACACTTGAGAACTCTTCTTACTTTTATCCTTGCTTACTTCCCTGCACTGTTGAAGGAGAGGAACAAAACTGTCAGGCAGGCTTTCCTCTGAGGTGCCTCTTGCCCCCCCCCCGCCCCCAGTTGAGTCTGAAGTAAGTTGGCTCAGCGACCGAAAATAAATGAAGGCACAGGATGCAGGGCTAATCTAGATGTGGCATGAAAATCTCATGCAGATGTATCTTATGTAGGCACCCTTGAGCATTTCCCAAAGAAAGGCTGAATAAAAATATATAATAAGCTTTTCATAAAAGAGAAAAATAAGGATTATAGGTTAATAAATCTCAATATGTTTTTAAAAAGTTGAAGTCTAGCTAAAGCACGATGAAAGGGACAAAGTGAATAACTGAATTAATGTTCAACTTGCTGGCAAGTTGTGAAACCAAGATCGTAGCTGAGTACTGAAGAGCAAGTTGAGGTGCTACAGAAACTTTATCTCTCGTTTTACTAATCTAGGTGAAATGTTAATATATACTGCTAGTCCATGTATGATACGCCCTATGCTAAATAAAATAAATTTATCTCTTGGATTGAAATCTTTCTTTCTAAAATACCTTGGATTATCTTTATCATTTCAGCTCCTGTGCAAACCACTCCGATATTCCTGCCTACAACAGCACCCCTGGTGACCTCCTCAAAACCCTTTGGTAGGAAAACCCAAATCTTTGCTGAGGGTGATAGTGACTTAAAATTATATGCTACCTGACTTCCAACAACTTTGGATAGTTATTTTTAGACCATTTAGGCAGCAGAACTTTCACAGTTGTCTCCACCCTTAAAACATTTATTCAGAATAAAAATACATTCTTCAATGAAGGCATCTTGATTGTCCTCACCTTTGTCAAATTCTCTCAAGGCTGATAAACCAAAACTGCCCTGTGACAATGTTGGCTAATGCTGAGACAGTTAATATTCAAAACAGCTGGAGAGTATTAGCTGTCTACACTTCGTGTATCATAAGGAAGTGGTCAACGCTGCTAACATTGGATGTTCCCGCTCTGACAACTGATGAAAATGCAGCCATTTTCTCTATTCCTTTAACATGCTTTTTCTTACTTTAGAAATTAGGTGCAGCAGAGGGGGGGGGTTGGAATGTAAGCTCAGCTAGCCATAATAATAACAGCTGCTGTGGGAATCCAAGGACAAGTTGATAACGTTTTGGCAGCTGTGGAGCTGAGGAGAAAGCCCGAGCTTTAAGCTAATTGGGGAATGTGATTTATGATAGTTAATTGGGGGTGGGAGTTGTACTTTGTTACTTTGTATCTGGGGGAAGGGAATTTAGTTTTTGGGTTCAACTATGTAGTGCCCATACTTTGTATCCCGAATAAATGTACTTTAAGGAAGAATTTTGCCTCGAAGTTCTTTTGATGGGTTTCATCTATCAGAACCATGACAGAAGTATTTATGGTTTTCATTGGAAAAGTTAAAATATGAACACAAAACCCTGAGTTTGACACTTGTACTGTTAATCGTACTACTGCATACATTACTTGATCCGTGCCTTGTGTTACCTTCCCCAGATCACCCAAGGACAAGCATTGAAGATGGAACCTCCTTGTGTTCACGGATTTTGGAGCCAGATGTTAAAGGCTACAAGAAAATGCTTTGCCTGAGTTTACAAAGATGGTGGAATAAGTTGGGACCCAGGGTCTGCCAGGGAGTAAACTGTGAAAATCCAGGACACAAGGATCAGAACAGGGAAGGGTCACTGCACCACTGGGAGAAGCTGCAGTGTGAAAAAAGGAATCTTAGTGTGGGTGACTGCTCAGGAAGCACACAAGAGTGCTTAAGTCTAACGCTGGTTAGATGCTCAGGTGAGCAAACCTCACTAGAAGAGCACACTCAATCCCTGTGCTGCTCTTCATTTGTGCTCATCATTTAAATTACACAAAATGGGTCTTTCAGTGCAATTTTGTACAAAGTGGTTGAGTAATGTACTAGAATTCTGGAACTGTACCAGCTTGTGGAGGAATGGTTATATTTTCTAATTTCCCTCCCCATTTTTAAAAAAAGAACTTTCCTGTACTATCCTTCCAAGAGAGGAATGTTATTCCTGAAATGCTAGATCTACACTGCATTTTAAAAATATGAATCTACCTCTTCCCATAGTATGAACAGTAACATCCAGAATTCTACAAGCTCAGTATAACCCCTGATCCTATGCAGGTTTGCTCTTTGTTTCTTAAAAGCTCTCTGAAAGGGAGGTTTGAATTATACTGATAAGAAAACTAGTATGCTAACAAGTATTCTGAATGTTGATGTTCAGAAGTAACCTAATGGGTGACAGATGGTATGTGGTAGCTAGTATCTAAATGATATTTATAGTGGAATGATATTTATAGTGGAATAATTCCAGTACAGGAGTAATTCCTGTACTGGAATTATTCCTGTACAGTCAGGCTAAATGCTGGAAGGAAAAAAAAACCCTGCAGTTCTGCAAAAAGGAGGAGGGGTAGTCAGAAACATTCTGCTGCTGAAATATTGAATGAGAGGGCCTAAAAACTATAGTATTTCTATGAAAATGAACTTATTGCTATTGAAGATATAGAGCTCTTTCAGATCTAGCTGTAGTCCCAGTATCCATGTGAAATGAGTTATGATCTGCTGATGTGCTTGCATCTTAACAGGGGCTTGCAATTATAAGCAATTTCAGTATATCTCTTTCATAGTTACATCATATTTGCGGGCAAGGAAATGTTTCATGGCAACAAATGCAACTTCTGAAGGGGCAATGTATTGCACTTTGTGCTTAAAGGAATGCCCTAATCCTTTTGAAAGAAACTTGATCCATGTTTGTTCACTCTATGTTATCCTTTTGGGGATCCTGTCACAATGGAACTGCCAGTATGCCAGCATTGGGAATTTAAAGGATAGTGGAGGCCTTTTAAATCGGTTCTTGGCCATTCTAAAAAGACTGCAAAAATCAGTTATTGGCAGATGATTCTTTCCAAGCTTTAGACATACGATTATTTTCATAGCATCTTGATAACCAACTAGAACTGCAGATAATCCAGAGAATCTGATCAAGTCTTCAGCACATTTTCAACTTAAGTTGGGAAGTGGAAAACCCAGCTGTCAGGAAAAGTTCATAATCTATAGGATTTTCTGTCTCCAGATCAAGATTTGAAGTCCCAGAAATCCAGTTCAGAGACTGTCTTAGGAATCCTGCTTGGTCTTGTTCTTATTGCTGTTCTTTTGAGTATCTGTGTTCTTTCCACCTACAAAAAAATTATGAAAAAATGTAAGTAAGAATTTACTGCTGGTATTAAGGGATTGTCAGATTCTGTTTTGGGCCTCAGCTTTTTCTGTGTGTGTGCTCTTACAACCATGTGAAAAAAATGCATGGTCGTCCAGAAAAAAGCATGATGACAAAAAGTCTGGTGGCTCAGGCTGAAAAGACTGGGGCTTAGGAGATCCATTGATTGCATCAGGAATTTTCTGGTTCTCACATTTCATTCTAGGACTACTGTGTGCTTTGTTGTACTCTCTACACAAAAGTATGCCCATGTACCCCTTTCTTTTTTAGGCATCCTGATGACATCAATTTGCATGGTGTATTTTGTCCACATGCCTTCATTTAAGTATTACCTTCTGCTATCTAGAAATGTCTTGAAAATAAGCCCCATTAATACTAAAGTTTGAATCCCAGCATCAGATTCCATCCAAGTTGAGATGCACTCTCAATAAAAAGAAAATACTGTATAGGTATCTCAGAATTGAACTGTGAACTCTCTTAACTTGGTAGTTTGCTTGCAGATGTTTCATTACCCCACTAAATGACATAATTAATGCATTTTGGGGGGGGGGTGATGTTACCTAGGTGGGTAATGAAATGTCTACAAGAAAACAATCAAGCTTGGAGAGCAAAAACAACTCCATAGATGGATACTGCTGGGCCCATTTTCTCTCTGATTATTGTTTCCATGTCCCCTGTTTCTCACCAGGTCACAAAGAATATAATGGCTGTACAGATATTTCCTAGCAGTACCTGGCACTAATTAATAGTTCTTCTATTATGGAATTATAGTTATTTTCAACACTGTTAGAAGGATTTTGTGCAACTTCTAATCCTTCTGTGAACATTAACAGCCTGAATATACAAAATGCATTCGAAATGATTTTATAAAACCCTTTCTATTCATCACAGTTTTTGGAATGTAGTTAATGGCAATGAATAGGAACATTCTTCATGCTTTTTAATTAGCATGCAAGCATACAGCTCTACTAAAAAAATAAACAGGATCTTTCTGATTGCAGCCATTAATCACCTCAAAATATCAGTGGCTCCTTAATATATTGCATTATAGCATTTCACTTCAGAGTATTTTACTATTATTTTAATTATGTCTAGGTTGGAAGTGATTAGCGCTGTTTAAAAGATAATTTTAAAGGCCATCCAGAGGAGGTTAAAAAGGTTTCTGCAGCAAAGAGTAGAGTCAAAGTGTGCTGAGCTGTGATAGTCTGCTGCTTAATAAGTTATTACTGAGGTCAAAAGCAAATCTGTCTAAAAAAATATAAAAAGTTAGATTGAGGTAACTGTACTGGCAATGAGTCTATCACTTTACCACCCCTTTTTTAAAAAAAAAAAAGGAATGGAAAGCATGTAGTTTGATTATGTTATGTGACCACTTTCCATCCTCCTCAATATGAGTGATCAAGCCATGCAAAGTCGCCAATAAATTCCTTGTCCAAAGAGCATTGCCTTCCACTGAGTGGTGCTCAGAGGAGCCTGTTTCTCTAGGTATCCAGTGCCACTTCGTGCACGGTGCATGCTTTACACACTAAAACAGGGGTCTTCAAACTTGGCCCTTTTATGACTTGTGGACTTCAACTCCCAGAATTCCTCAGCCAGGCACGCTGGCTGATGAATTCTGGGAGTTGAAGTCCATAAGTCATAAAAGGGCCAAGTTTGAAGACCCCTGCACTAAAAGCTTAAGGTTATTAACTAATAAGGATTATACTCATGGAACTTGGGGGAAAGAGTATTTATGCCCTACCTGGTTATATCATCAATCCCATGTCCCTTCCTTCCCTCTATCTGCAGATTCCAAGAAGAGGCAGCAACAATGGATTGGCCCAAGTGGGGTAAACCAAAATGGTAAGAAATCACCTGCAGAGCAGGGAACAAGAATCCGCGTTCTGATTTCTCCTGCAAGTCAAAGGGAATGTGCATTTGAATGTCTCATAATGTACCCAGGGACACTGAATATACACTTTTCTAATGCAATTTTTATGTTCTCATTATAAATGGATATACTGTAAGAGCTCAGGTTGGTGATGTGACTATACCATCCTAGCCAGATTTGATCTCAGAAAAGTAGGAGCCATACATACCTTCTGATCAACACACTTTGGATGGGGGGGGGTTATAAGAATAACCACTGCTTACTTTGGGTTGGTGAGACTTTTAATTCACCTGGCTGGTAGAATAAAGAGCAATTTAGTCACCCTCCATCCCAAAGTGAGTCTCTCATCTGGGAAAGCAAATGCGCAACCTTACAGTAGCTCCACCTGCATCATTAAATGTAAAGCACAATCCTGTTGGATGATGGGGCAAACTCATCCCAACCCAATCATGCAGTCTTTGTGGGTATAACTTTATCTTTCATAAGCCTGACTACCAAGATATCATATTTTCACATTTGTCAGACTCATAAGACATTGACTGATACCTGTGAGTTACAGGCTGCTTAAAGAGACTGTCATCCTGTAATTCTAGCCTCTATGGGAAGAGTGATGATTCTCTTCTAAATGTACTCTTAAATAGCACTCTGTTATTTATGACTGGGCCATATATTTTACAACTAAAGCTGACATTCCAAAACAGATCTGCTGGGTCCTGGTCAAAATTCTGCTCCCAAAGCACTCCCTTTCAAGTTCCTCACCAGAGGAAGAAAAGCAGCCATCCCTTTTAACATCTCACTGTCTTTGCAGTGGATGCAACATTATTGAACTAGAAACATATGGCAGAGAGGAACTGCAAAAGAATTCCAGGCAAGACGAATGTCATTTGTTTCCTGGCAAACATGAGATTTCTAATGTAAATGCCACAAATGCCTCTTCTGATTATGGACAGAGATCTGGTGTCATAATCACAATTTCAATGAAAAACACGGGTAGAATAATAAACGTGTAGGTCGGTGTGGTTATTTTACTGTTCACTTATTGTCAGAGACCCTGTCCCAAAAACATGGTTTGGCTCCCTCTAGAGGCGGGAAGTAGGTTGGCAGCCCAATGAAGACTGCAGTGCAGACCTCCTGCTTTTGCTGATATCTAGCCAAGCAAACCCCTTTGAAGAACCAGACTGGTCATAATTTAACCGTGTGACTGTAATCCTGATCTTTAATTTTGGAATTCTGAGTAGCAGCAATGAAAGGCCTTGATCAGGATGTGTGCGCACGTATTTGAAACCTCCTTCTCGCAGTCCCCAGGACGTAGGGTTCAAAACACCCTCTTCTTCCACACTACTGAGGGTGCTTTTAATCCTGTCGTGGCAGTGCAAATCTTTTTTTAAAAAAAGAAAGGTATGTGTGTGCATTTTTGCACTGAGAGGTATGTGTGGAAGGGCTGTTGAGGGTGATTTCAAAGGCTGAGCCAGAAAAGCATGTGTTTTGTTGAACTAGAACTGTTTTAAGAATATGGTGGTTGGTATTAATATATTGGATGTATATGAACATGGACATTATTCCTTTCAATAAACTGTTATGAATGAGGCAGCTCCCGGATAAACTTTTTTTAAAACAGTGTCACAAAAAGCATCGCTCATCAGGGCTTTTCCCTACAAACTATAATTTTAATTTCAAAGTCAGGAAATGTATATCCTCACATGCGGGATTCACGTGTGGGATTCAGTATATAGAAAGAAAGTCCACATTATGTTTTTCTTTAGTTTCATTCCATCGCAAGAACTCTACTGCCTTCCAGACCCATCTTGAAAGCCCAGTTGTTCAGGAAGAGGGGAACAAAGCCTTCCAGAAAACCTATCTCTCACCCTATGCAGGTAACATTTTCTTGCTTAAACTAAAAGTGTGTGTCACCTCTTAAAATGTGTATCTGTCCAAAGATGTTGAGCCAAAGCATCTTAGTCTCACAACCGACCAGATGGACACTTCTGATACTAAATCCGATACTAAATGATAACTTTATCCCAGTTTGATTCCTTCCTTCCCACATATATTAGAATCCAATCATTTGTAGTTGTGCTGGCCAAAAACGTTAATCTGACCCAGATTATTATGGGCATCATGACCCATAATAATGTTCAATTCAGTACCAGGCTATGAATATACATTATTTTTATCTCTACTGTGCACATGTCATGGTTCCGACTAATGAAACACTTCAAAGAACTTCCAGGCATTTTATCCTAAAAAAAGTCTCTTTATTTATGTGACAAAATGTCGGCACAGGCATGATGAAAGAGAATGCTAAGATCTGAAATCCCCACCCACTGAGCAATTATTTTTGCTAGCATTTCCACTCCCTATTTTGCTGTCATGATTTACGTTCTCCAATTAGTGTGAAGAGCAAAGTTTCCCTTCCTTTCCCTTTCATGGGCTTTCCCCCCCCTCCCTCATTCTCCTCTGCATTAACTCTAAAAATACCAGACAGTTCTGTATATTTTGTCAAAGCAAGAATATTCAATATTAGCAGCATTGACAGCGCAATTGATTTATAAGCTACATTCAGGTACTGCATATCAGATCATCGCACTACAACATGTACTTTTGCTGTGTCTTCAGTGTCATTTTTTCAATATCCTAATGGAGGGCCAATTTCTCAATAATCTATATTTTGTGATGGATCCAGATGAAGTAAACTAATCAATTCTCATTAAGCCAGTACAAATCTCTTTTAATTATTCTTTGTGAACAAATTATGAATAGTAGCTTTCCATTTTTGCACTTAATCAAAAACTGCATCGATGCTAATATTGGCCTGCATCATATTTAAAATCTTGTTCTGATACTTACAAGCAATCAGTGACAGAGATAAGAGAGTGCAAACATTTTATATAACCCATAAGATCATTACAACTGTAATTTTGGTTACTATTTGTGATGCTATAAAAGATAGGCAAGAGAGAGAGAGATGATAGATAGATAGATAGATAGATAGATAGATAGATAGATAGATAGATAGATAGATAGATAGATAGATAGATAGATAGATAGATAGATAGATAGATAGATCTAATTTAGCAACCACAATTGTATCAGCAACTTGGTCTTTAAATGAAGCACTCACTAAGTGAAACTGCAAATGAGTTTCACATTTTATTTTAGATTCCTTTGCTTTATAGATCAGCAAAAGTCATAAATGTGAGGACTGATTACAAAGTTATTTTTTCATCATAACTGCATAGTACAAGACAGTCACTAAACAAGGACTACCCGTACGTAGTTGATATACAGTTAAGTCTATGGGATAACGTTAATAAGCCAGTATCTGACTAATATTTAGATAGATTGCTGAGGGGCACATGACATGAACTTTGTAAATTGTTAGCAAACATAGTTATTTTGTATTTTACTTTGTATTTTAAACGTAGTTACTTTGTATTTTGATTTGACTTACTGTTCTCTCTTTTAAAATGATGATAGGTTTTATAAAACCATTAGATTGGCATGTAGGAAAACGTCTTATCCTATGGCTGTATGGATTGATTAGACAGCTTCTAATATTCCTAAACTGAAAAAATAAGTTACAGAAAGAGGGCTGGATATTATCTCCTGATAAGATAAAGTTTCTTAGTGTCAGCGGACATTTGGTTATCTAACTTCAAACAACCTTTGTGGTTAATTTACTGTTTCAAAGGAGGGGTTATTTTTATCTTGTCTTCTTTCTTTCTTTTTTTGTTATGTTAACTATAAAAGGGAATGTAAGCTAAGGATCAGGGTTCCCTCTTTGAATGAGAGAAATCCCTTTTGTCTGAATATTCTGATAAATTGTAATAAAATGATCTTCCTGTCTCAGTCTGTCTCACTGGAAAATATGCATGCCAAGGCACGAGTCTAAAAGAGCCATATTTGGCCTTTGTTGCCCCTTGAAAAATCCAGGGCTATAAATCAGATTGGGAAAACTATTGGTAAGGCCACACTTGGAATACTGCATCCAGTTTTGGTCACCACGATGTAAAAAAGATGTTGAGACTCTAGAAAGAGTACAGAGAAGAGCAACAAAGATGATTAGGGGACTGGAGGCTAAAACATATAAGGAACGATTGCTGGAATTGGGTATGTCTAGTTTAATGAAGAGAAGGATGAGGGGGGACATGATAGCAGTGTTCCAATATCTCAGGGGCTGCCACAAAGAAGAGAGAGTCAAGCTATTTTCCAAAGTGCCTGGAGGCAGGACGAGAAGCAACGGGTGGAAACTAAGCAAGGAGAGAAGCAACCTAGAACTAAGGAGAAACTTCCTGACAGTTAGAACAATTAACCAGTGGAACAACCTGCCTTCAGAAGTTGTGAATGCTCCAACACTGGAAGCTTTTAGGAAGAGACTGGACAGCTATGTGTCTGAAATGGTATAGGGTTTCCTGCCTGAGCAGGGGGTTGGACTAGAAGACCTCAAAAGTCCCTTCCAACTCTATTATTGTTATTCTGAAAAAAGGCAGTGGCAATCCTTGTTGGTATCATACTATGAACATGATAAAGATTTGAGTCACCAGGCATCAGATTGGACTTGAAGACAACATTACATGGCAAAGACAAACCCATGGTTTGTGTTGAAGCAGAAACCTCTGAGTGCATCTCTTTGTATAACTTGCCACGTGCTCCCCCTAGCGTCCGTAAATAATATATTTTTTTCGTAGTTTATTTTTTATTATATTTTACACAGCTCTCCTTAGTTCTAGGTTGCTTCTCTCCTTGATTAGTTTCCATCCATTAATCTTTGTCTTGCCTTTGGTGCTTTGGAAAATAGGTTGAACCCCTCTTCTTTGTGGTAGCCCCTCAAATATTGGAACACTGCTATCATGTCACCCCTCATCCTTCTTTTCACTAGACCAGACAGACCCAATTTCTGCAACCGTTCTTCATAGGTTTTAGCCTCCAGCCCCCTAATCATCTTTCTTGTTCTAAACATCTTTGTAGCTTTAAGGGAAGATGCAAAGATTTCAGTCATTTCAGGAAGGGGTAACCTATTAGCATCAATTGGTATTTCATGGCAATGTGATTCCATGCTGAGGGTTGTTTTGTTTTGTTTTTTTCTCCTCCACGATCCAGCTCTGGAAGGGGCAACCAATAGATCTCCCAGCCCTTTGGATAACTCCTCTGACAGCGATTATGACTTATGTTCCGCGCAGCAGCTGTAAACTCTGTGAAGTATGGATGACACTCCTTCCTGTTCACCTGCAGTATGGTGGTTAAGGTGGCATTGAAGTGACCCTTACTCCATCCTCAGCTCACTGGATGACTTCAGGCCAGTCTCTCTCTCAGACTTAAACTACCTCACAGGGCGGTTGTGGAGAAAATTGGAGGGGAACACAATATGTATGGTTTGAGTTTCTGAGCAAAAAACTCAATATAGATCTGATAATGGAATATCCTTTAAATGAATAGTAAATTCCAGGGACATGATCACTGTAATAAATTTAAATCAGTTTTTTGAAAGGAAGGAAACTGATATTTGTAGTATAGATCTTGGATAGATGAGTTTCTCTACCTCCACAGCGATAGCAAAACCAGTCCACCAACTTACTCATATCCTGAGCATTAGCATGTTTTTCCCAGCCAACTATGTTGCATTTCAACTCCTATAAGTCTCAGTCCATCAAGGATACGCTGATAGAGATAGAAATCTCCCAATTTCAGACACTGAAAATCAATTTGGATTATGAACCACTGTAGAATTAAAATCCTCCTACCTGACAACCCAAAATAAGGCTAGGCGATCTCTGGCAAGCCAAATAAGGAAGATTTATGTGTCAGTTAAAATTTCAAGAAGACGCAGTATATATATACCAAGTAGCCATAAGTACAGAAATGTGGATACATGGGTCATCACCTTACTGAGATACTGAATTAGAGTAAGTCAGAAAAGCTAATATTATTCAGTTGAAAATTTCAAATAGCATACATCTCTTGGCCCAGAGCATTTAAATCAATGTTCCCTTTTTAGGGTGTACAGTATCAACATATACTTGTAAAAAGAGTATAACTCTATGTGTTATAAATATGTTGCAATTAAATAAATATTGAAGCTAATTGGTGAGAGCTTTAATAATTGTTAGAGCTATTGAACTGTCTTAAAGCAACACTAGTTTAATTTGAATGGTAGTTGCGGGGTGAACTATGCATTCAACATTCATGTAGCTCAAATGACATCCATTCTTTATTTGGTTATTGACATTAGGGACTGCAAAAAGTTGGTCCATAGTTCCAATTTTCACATCTGGTTCACAACTGATTTCTCATATGGATTAATGCTGTGTTGTTCACCTGTGTAAATTGCTGTACATTTCAAAAATAACATGTTTATTATCTTGCTGTCTTTGGAGAAAGGGGGTAGCCTCTCCAACCATTTAATATATTTTTGGTGGGACAAATAATTGTATCAAACATTTTCAACCAGTTCTATAGTTAGTTCTACATTTGGAAGGGAAAGTTTTTTTTTAACGATACTGAAGCTCATTTTTGTGCAGTAGTTAATAAATGGCCTACATGTTTTTGCTTTCTTAAGCTGCGGTTCACTTTGTCAGTTGAAATTAACCATATGCACAAATGCAGATACGTACTTTTTCATTGGATGGATTGCAGCTTACAAAAGCTTATATCTTTTAATAAAATATGTTACCAATAGAAGATCATTTTTTGTAGCTTGGGATTGAACTGTGAGGTCTTTGGTGTTCTCTGAGCTTGGTGGTTGATTTATAGATGTTTCATTACCAAACTAGGTAACTAGTTATCAGTGCTGTTGATGTCACCTAGTTTGATAATGAAAAGAAAACCACCAAGCTCAGAGAGCATCAAGGACCCCACAATAAAATGTGTTTGTTGGAAAAGTGCTTCCAGATTCATGTTTTGTTTTTTGATACCATAGATTAACATAGATCTCCTCTCATTCCAAGTCTTTGGAAGCCCATATTAAAAATTGTAAATATCTATGGAGCTTCAGCCTCATTTGGAAAGTTCAAATAGCATACCTGTCTTGATCCAGAGTACTTAAAAATATTTTGAATTTTCCAAAGACCTGAAAATATGCTTGTCCAATACAATTACTTTCTTGTAATTCTTTTTAAAAAGGACCAGTATGTTGTCCTGGTGCTGGAGAGATTGGTGATCATATCCTCACTTGTTTCAAAAATGATAGGCCAGTCACCACTTTTCAAATAGACTTAGCTGAGCAATGAGGATAGAGGGAGAACCAAATATATTGTTCTTTGAAAAATGGCACTTGGATATAAAAATGTAATCACAAAAAGAAAAAAAACCCTGTTCCTTTAACTAACAAATCAACTAGAATCTTGAAGCCTATTCTCTAGAAGTAGATTGTTCTATTGATTTGTATGGAATTAGAAACAACCAAGTATGCAGTTAATCAGAAAACGGAACAATGAAACAACTAAGCTTATCTAAGCTTTGTATGCAGCTATAAAAAGCTTTCACAGTTTTTAGGTAATATTGATCTAAACTAGATTACTTCAAAAACAACTCTCTGGTGATTAATTTTAGCATGCAACTGAGAGCAATTTGCAATGCAATTGTCTGCACGTTTTAACAAATGTCCCTTGTTGCTCAAATTCCTTGAATTGGGGTGTTGTAAAATAAAGAACATGTCAAATTCATTAAGGCTTTTGTTCCTGTGCCTTCTTTGGATAGGGCAGGAACTGGTTTTAACTTAATCCTAGTGAGTGGCTGCAGACAACAGAGCCTCCTGGATCCAGGGATTTTTTCATCTCTAACCTTGAGTGGGTTAGCACTTGCCTATTAAAGACCGGCACCTTCTCTGTCACAGTGCCTGAAATCTGTGTGGTTCTACTCCATTGGTAATCTAGAAGGCTTTTAAGACCTGTGTCAGACCTGCCTCAGCTTGAACCTCTAAGTAAGAACGACTCTTAATCCTCCCCATTTATTGAGAAATGTATGGTTTACTGGAAGTCAAGTGAATTACAGCAACGCATAGCCAGAACTGAAAATTGTGCGCCAAAATCTCCAAGTCTATTTTTCCCCTCCCTTAGTTACCTCCCATCACTGGGCTCCCATGTCCAATCAAATTCAAACAAGATATTTTTAGAACGGTCACTTCAGGACATAGGTTTGGTATGCAGCTGCGGCTCCATTCCTAGCCAATTGTCCTTGAAGCCCATCTTGGAGAAATACAATGAAGTTTCGTTTCCTTCAAAACATCCTCCCTCCCATCCACCACCACCCCTCAAGTTCACGGCAGCTGACACTGAATGGTGGCAAAGTACAAGCGTGAGGTGGCAGCTGACAACCTGGCTGTTCTACCAGGCCTTGAATTAGGGTGAATAGATGTCCTTTGTGGCAGGCATTGTGTAGATTAGTTCTCTTAAATAAACAAGATGAAATATCTGGCTACTTATCTTGTACGCTGTTATTTTCAAATTCTGCTTTGCTATATTGTGACCCATCCAGAGTGGTGTGGAAAGTCAGGTGGCGGCTAAATCGATTAAAATAATCATTATCAGCTTTTAGTGGAAAAGATATTTGTATTTCTGTCCATGGCTTGCTTAATGTAGCTAATAATAATGCAATACTTAAATTCCCATAAAACAATAATAAAAATTAAAGTAATTCAAAATAAAAATCCCTGGTTAAACTGGAAGATTTGGATTTAGTGTAACTTCTAAGGGAACGCATCCCAAACAAAGCTTGAGAAGAACACAAGAACTAGTCTAAGAGGCCATCTAAGAGAGCTTCTTCTGCCGAGTTTAGTATTTGGATAGATTCATACTAAGATAATTGTCCCTTAGATATTTGTTTTCTAAGCTTTCAACATTGAATTCAATATTTTCAACTGTGTCTGAAAAACAATAGAGAAATAGAGCAGTTTTCCAACAGAAACATTACGCTTCGTGTATCATGTACCAGTTAGCTGCCTTACTCTTCGTTTTACAGCATCTGAGCCTTCCAGGCATTTTGCAATGGTCAACCCATGTAGAGTCAATTATAATAATGTAAATCATCATTAAGTAAGATGTGATGTGTTACTTTCCTCAAAGTAATGGTTGATTAAAAACTAACGACCTTCTCTGGACGTGTAATGAAATAACTTCTGCAATCCTAGCTCCTCTAGAAAAATACTGTAAAAGCAGGGGTGTCAAACTGCAGGCCGGATGCATCATAGCGAAACCCCACCCACCCCATTTCTGGCAATGGCAAAAAAAGTCACGATATGTCGCAACACATCACGTGACATTGCGAGTTTGACGCCCCTGCTGTAAAGAAACAACAAAATCTAGGGGGGGGGAACCTAAGTAAAATAAAGATAGAAATTGGCGACAGGTGACACAGACTATAGCTTTTAAATTCTGCAAATTACAATTTGGACTTCACTGTATTTCCCCCACTTTCCTTTCCCTGTGCAAAAGGAAAAAAAAATATACAAACAGATATAAAGTAAATGACAAATTGATATATTTATGATGCATTCCATAAAGAACCCAAAGAATCAGTCTATCATAATAATTAAAAATGCCTTCATAGGTGATGTAGGACTCACATATTTTGTTTGTTGCAGATTTATGAGGGTACAAATTCTAGCCTGCAAATAACTAAGTGACAAGATATACTACTCCCCGACGTTTAGACTTTAATGATATCGCAAAATCTTCGGATGGTTTGATCAATCAATTACTTAGTTAAGATCAACCAATTACTTAGTTAAGAGCATACAATTTTTACTAGGGAAGAAAACATTAAACTTGGAATTATACCAGTTAAGTTGGTATGAGAATCTTCTTGCATTCCCAGGAAGGTCAAAATATAGAGATCACAAATTATGACAACGAATATTGGGAAGGGTGTGATTGCTTAATGTATTTATAGATATTTAAGGAATGTTTGTGGTGACCTTAATAGGTGAATTAGTTCAGAGTAATGGTTTTGGGTTTGGGGTTTTTTTGGTATGTCATCTATGTTATTTGTTGACTGAACACCTGAATGACTATGATGTAGCATCATATATGTAACTATATGATGCCACAAGGGTCACGGTTCAGAAAAATAATGTACCAAACAGTAAGAAGATTGTCTTTTGACAAAATGGAGTGGGTGACTGCCAGATATATACTGCTCACAAAAATAAAGGGAACACATCCTATGAGACATCCTATAGGATGTGTTCCCTTTATTTTTGTGAGCAGTATATATAAATGGAGAAAAACTAAAGCAAGCAAATCAGTTTGTGTACTTTGGTGCGATGCTTACTAAATATGGGAAAATGGAGAATTTAGGATAAATGCTGACAAAAAAAGGTAGTGGCCCTCAAGTGTTCTGGTGTGAAATTGTTATGTATAACAATGTGCTTCTCCCCAATTTGTTATACAGAAATGAAAGGTGAATATGTTAGGAGAAACGTTAAGAACTTGGATGCAGCTGGAATGGGGTACAGTACTTAAGTATATGCAGCAAAGGAAGATGTGGTCAGTGGCGAGGGGTGTTGGATGAATATGGACTGAATACAAAAGTGAATATTATGAAATGACTTGGTTATTTGAGTGATTTGGTTATTTATGGAGAGAATGATAATCAAATCTCAAATATACGAAGAAAAAAATGAAAGGCTGAAGAGGAAGAGGAAATCATGATTCATTAGAATTGGTGGTCCAAATAAACAGATGTGAGAAGTTTAAAAAGCAAAAAGCTACATATGGAGAGATAAATGGGAAGAGTGGAACCAAAGAGGCAAGGATACAAACATTTGGAGAGGTCTAATGAGTCATGTTCATGTAAATTACAGCTTTTTGCTTTTCTATCTCCTGTCTTTAATTTTTTATTTCTTACTCCTTTCTACACTTTATATGAAGTTGCTTAGCTAGAAAAAGTCATGTGATGGATATATAGATATGAAGTTATTACACATTAGGTCAACACTGGAAAAAGCTAGAATTAAATAATAATTTAAATCATTATTGGCCAGGCAGTAATTTACACTGGGAAGAAGGTTATAAAGAGAATGGGGAGACAATAACAGAATAATAAAGGAGGAAATGAATCATGAAAATTAAAATTTAGAGAATGGAGATGCCTCAGTGTTAAAAGAATTGGAGATGAGTTAAATCTATTGCTCCATGGGGGGGATAGAATAATAAATATATATCTTTAAGTAAATTAAAGGTCAGCTAATACAAGAGAGTTATGAATCTGAGATGAAAATGAAGAGCCTTATTGATACAATATAAATCAAAGATGCAGTTCATCAAATTTTATTACCATAATCAATTACATATATGCAATGGCTTCCATCAAATCTGAAAGTCAGTCAAATCTATTGTTTATTTTTTTAAAAATAAATTACAGACAAGCAAGAGGATAAAGTGCTTAGCAAAACTATTTTGTTTTCCATTACATCCCCTGCACTCTATTAATTGATAGCCAGTGTTTCTTCTTCTCAACCAAAGTGAAACAATAAACAAAAAGAAAGGAAATGCCTCCGTTTCCTACATTCTCTGTAAAATTAAAAGATTAAAGAAAAGGATCTGGATATGATGAAAGCTACACATCCAAATTCCTGAGAAGGTTGTCACACTCAATAATGTAGGTAGGACATTACATCATTTATTCGTCAATATAAATAATGCATAGTGATTTGGCTTTCTATTGGTCAATAATGCTATCCAACTGCCAAGCAATGCCAAGACCACAAGTTTCTTAGGTCAAACAAAATCACAGAGCAATTGTTCAAAGGGTAACCTATGGACTGAAGAAGTCATGGTTAAGACTTGTTTTGTGGTATGAAATCAAGAAAGTACAAGTTAACTTGTTATGGAAGAAAGAGGAGAATCCAAACAATGGCAGCTTTAAAAAAAAAAAAAAAAAGGCATGGGATGAGAGGAGCACCTTGTGGATTCTGTGGAAGCTCTCAACACAAATTGCAAAATGGGGGGGGGGGATGGCGAGAATAATGGAGCAAAATAGTTTTGGCCTTTGGTGCTGACCTCATCCAGTGCTGTTAATGCAGTTTTATGAAGAAACATGCTCCCTTAGACTGACAAGGGTTCTCCAAGCCTTCCATATGGGAATATCCAGCCGCAATTGTTTGGTAATCTGCTATAGCTACGAGCGAGCAGGTGAAGACTCTTTCTTTCTTTGTGGAGTTAGCAAACATATCATTATTGTTGAGGAGGTACTTCCTAATGCCAAGAGAAACTTTAGACTTCTTCCTTAGAAATCATGTTTTACATCAGAAAAGCGTAACTGATTTCTCCATCAGATTCTCTGTAAGAATATAGGCATATAGAACTTTTTAATATATTCTAATATGCTAAATTAGAAAACTACACACACACGCATACACACGCACGCACACAAAACCAGATCGAGGTTGCAGTCCATTAAGTCTTCCTTAAAGAGTTTAGCAAGCACAATGCCATGATAAGAGCTCTGGGTCTTTGTGTGTATTTTATACTATGGCTTGAACTGAATGTTTGGTCAATACTGATTCCATTAAGGCTGCCTACCATGACTATACCTACAAACCATCAAACAGTGGCCTTCCTTTGCAGCTCTTGCCAGTATTATTCCATCATTTATTCCATCAGTGTAATGCTTCTGTATATATGTTTCTCAGGATGACCCTCCCCAATTTTCATCTTGGGGCTGATTAGCTAGCAAGACATCATTTCATCAGCTACCATGTAAAATACTGCCTAGAAAGCTGGTCTAATATCCAGACCAAGTATTGCCCCGAGGGGGAAGAGGTGGTGGCAGATACCCAAAAGATGGAGCTGGACCTGGGGGATATGGAGGCTGGGGCGGAACAGGGAAGCTAGTCGCTGAAGGTTGAGTGGGATAAGGACATGGTGGCCTTCCTCCTGATGGAAAATAGGGAGGCTGCATAGGCTGAGGAAATCCTGGTGCTACTGATGGAGCCCTGAGAGGAGGCTGTGGATACCCTGGTCCAGAAGATGATGTTCTGGATGGAGACCAAGAGTACCTGGATGAAGGCAGGTCTCCTGTTTGAGGCTGGGATACTGGATTACTTGAAGGAACAGATGGGTATCCAGGACCTGAGGGTGGTTTATATGGAAATGGGGGCTGGGCACTTGGTTGAGAGGTGGCAACATGTCCCACTGTAACTGGTGCTCCTCCAAAGGGCCTTGGCTGGAGAGCCCCATAAGCTGAAGGGCCTGTTGGAATACAAGGTGATAGACCATAAGGTAAAGGAAAGGGTGGTTCCCCAGCTGAACGCTTCTGTGGCTGCTGATTTATAGGTCCAGAAGATATGTGGGAAGGAGACTGGTGGTTAAATTCATTGCTATCTGCTGGCTCCGGCAAGGACTGAGATTTTTGCAACACTTCTTGAAGTTTTTCCACTTTTACTCGTCGTAGATGAGATAATTTCCTCATGGTAGAAAACTGCTCAAGAAATGTCTCCAAAGGCACCTCCCCCTCCAGGAACTTTTCAGCCATCATCTGGAATTTTAAAAAAATATATTAAAATAATGCTTCCATCTGCATCAAAGGGAACATACAGATAGTCCTCAGTTAACAACCACTTATTTGGTGACCATTCAAAGTTGCAAGAAGTGGTGCTTACAACAGTTTCAGTTGTCCCAGCATCCTCGTGGTCACGTGATCATGATTTGGGCATCTGGCAACCAGCTTGCGCTTACGAAGGTGGCAGCATCCTACAGTCACATGATCACCATTTGTGGCCTTCCCTGCAGGTACCCATAAGCAGAGTCAATGGGGAAAGCCAGCAGGGCAGGTCCCAAGTTGCTCAGGTAAGCGTCTCCCAAGCTAAATGTCGTGGCATTGCTTAGCAACAGAAATGCCAGTCCCAATTAGCATCAAAGACTGAGGACTACTGTATTCTAATTCCTGACAATAAGACTTCCTTATCCAAAGCTATTCAAAATGCTCTGCAAATGGTAGGATAATGCAAGGAAAAACAAATGGTTATTCTTCTCCACTTACTGTCTCTTTTTGGGATTCATGACTTTTATTGTTTTATCAATGTATAAAATACAAAAAATAAAAATAGGAAATTAAGGGAAGGAAAAAGAAAGGGGGAAAGAAAATATGAGGTACAAGGGAAAAAAGAAAAAAGCATTGACTTCAGACTCTTTTTAACACAGTACAACATTACAGCCTCAACTTTTTAACTTATATATACTATATATATATACAACATTACAGCCTCAACTTTTTAACTTATATATACTATATATATATANACACACACACACACACACACACACACACACACACACACTCATATTAGAGCCATTTCTATAACAACAAATCTATCTAATCGGCAAAACCAAAGTCAAAGTTTCATTTTTTTTCATCACAAATACAAAATCCAGAAGTGATATCCAAATAAAAAACATAATTAAATATATTCTCCTCTTAACATACATACTGTAAAGTTCACTTTCAGACCAATAAAATTCTAATTAACTCCAATTAACTCATTAAATTTAGATCACTCCCTCCAGGTTACCCTCACAGAATAATTTTTTCTTCTTGTAACCATTCCTTTAAAAACGCTAAACCTTTCTTTAAGCTAATACAGCTTTTTCTTTAACTTTCTCTTAACACAGATACTTTCAAATACACTTTCAATAATATTTTACAAGCTTTGGGAATTACTTAAGTATTATATATAAAGGAAAAAATACATTTTCAAACTTTATATTAAGTCTTTTTTCAATTACAAATATCAGACCGATAAAAATCCATCCTAATTCCCATTGACTCATTAAGTTTAAGTCACTCCTTCCAGCTTATCTTCATGAAATAAAATCACCAGGAGTCCTCCAGTTACTTTCTCCAACAGAGAAAGTAAATGGAAGAAGCATGAGACCCAAGTTAAACGCATGAAGGATTTGAGTAAAAGGTGCAAGTTCTGTAAATTTCCTTTCATTCTTAAATAATAATGCCTGCTATAGTTTAGTCTGTGTTCTATTCATGTTTAGGTATTTGCTTGTGCTGTATAACAAGGACAAAATGTGGGAAAGCTCAGCTGGACTGACTTTTAACATTCAATTTCTATTAAAATAATTTATTCCCTCTGGAATTTAAATAAGAGACTAACCTCAGATTCTTCTTCAATTTTGAGTCCTTCCACCTTCAGAAGATCTAACAGGGTATCAGGCTTTGTTGCTGCTGAGAATTGCTCTGAGAAATAAAAAAATAGACACCTAAAAATTAAACAAAACCGCGCCTCTTCTTCCTTTCAATGCAAGTACCTAGTTATGCACATATATTGTACATGAAGGCAACCAGCTTCTAAAAGAAGAATTCTGTTGCTTTAAGAACTAATGTCATGTAATCTGAACCCATAACCAAGGAGGAAGAAGGGAAGGGTGATCAATTAAATCCCAAAGTGCAGTTTTTGACTAATCAGATGGTCACTTGCACTATAATGCTGGATAGTATCTACTGGATAGTATCAATAAATTGACTACTGGATAGCATCAACAAATGCATCCAGATGAGGTGCCAACCATACCCCCATAGCTCTTCCATGTCCCAAGACCAAGATGAAGGAAATGCACAAAATTAATCTTGGTTAGAAAAAGCCTATTAGCCAATTCTGTTCCACCTCTATCCCCATCAGCCACAGCCATCTGAAAAATTTACCAAGCTTTGACTTCTGCTCCTGGCATCGCTCTATCAGTTTTTGCAGCTCTTGATATCCATCAGAGAGGTTTGCACGTCCTGTTTCCAGGGGCTCCTGGAACTTCAGGTTTTGCTCTGCAAGACTACGATTTGTGGCCAGAGCCATCTCCCTTTGCAACTGTATATCCTGGACCTGAGAAATGAAAGGTTAGGTAGATATGGCTCATTTTAAAGGATAGTTTCTCTCTTCAATAACTTTCATGTGTATGAATGATTACCTCATCGGACTCCAATGCCAACCGCTCAATCTCTTCCACATTTTCCTGTAGTTCTTTCAATTCATCTACAGTCTTGTCTCTGAAGGTCTCCATCTTTTGGGGGGTTCATCAATTCCTTTGGGATTAAGAGAAAAAGAAGATGGTTAGTAAATTCATGTCATCACCCAAGCATATTTGGTTGCAGGGTAATTTTCAGTTTAGGTAAGCCGTATTCGCCGGCAAAAATTGTATCAGAGGACAGCTTAATAATTACTCGTCCTTTCTCCACTTTTGCATATTAATGTGAAGGGTAACTTTACACACAAGTGCCAGACCAATAACAGAAGGTTTTGCCTATTAAGGCCGTACATGTATTTATGAGTATATGTAGGTAAATATATCATACAAAGTACTGCATTATCCACCTTAAAAGAGAGACCAAAACAACTGGAGATAGATGCAAGAAAGTATCCTTTATTGGCACACACGAACTATAATGATCCTTGGGCTCTTTGCCAAAGCACTGCAGAAGAGCCCCAAACAAAGCAACATTATAGATTACATAGTTTTGGTCCATCTAGAGCAGAAATGATAAAGAAAATATTGTAAATCACAGTCTGACCTTTACAGTCAGAATATAGCAACTGATAATGTCATGGGGTGAGTTTATTATGCTCTGACTCAATGCCTCTAAATTCTGCATTCCTGCAAAAGCTCCAAGCCCACCACCTTCTAACATAAACAATATTTTATTTATTTAGATTTTTATCACAACTTTACTAATTTGTAATAATTGTTGTGCAAAATCCCCTTCCAGTCCTTCAGCCATTATATTTCCTGTCTAGCCACCATTTGATCTATAAAGCTGCATAAACCATTACTGGGTAGTTATTGGGTATTAGTTAGTCTCCATTCACATCAGGGAAAGACGACAAACGTTTCAATTATCTGTCTCCTTCCCCTCCAGCATCATCAGATCCAGCCTCCTGCTTTTAATTAGGACTACTGCAGGCCTAGTTTCATTCATAACTTAGCCACCTTTAATTAACGATTTAATCTTCTACGAAAGACAAGACAGATAGAATTAAATATAATCTCTCTAGCACCTATCGCTAATAATAGGAATATTGTACAGCATTATTTGTGTGATCAAAGATGATCAAGGAAAAAGAACACAAACCTTCCAAAAACTAAGTAACAGGAAGAAATGAAATGACACTAAGGTGAACTAAAATGTTCTAAATAATCTCTGCTTCAAGTTACTTTATGTTTCAGGAAGAATATCCAATAACTACCCAGTAATGGTTTATGCAGCTTTATAGACTGCATGGTGGCTAGACAAGAAATATAATGGCTGAAGGACAGGAAGGGGATTTTGCACAACAATCTCCATTTGAATTTTGCCATCTTAATCCACCAGCCTGTTAACTGAACAAATAAGATCAGTTTAACAATTTGCAACATTCCTATGCAGCAGGAGGTTTTCGGCTTTTGGCTCAATCTAACATGCAACCTTGGCAACCAAAGCTAAGGATAAGAAATAAGAAAACCAGTTGTTCAGAAATATACTATGCTGACCAGTACCTTAGCAAAACAATCAGGATAAATATCTGTATGTATATATAATATGTCCTTCATTTTCAATGTAATATTTTTTTTAAAAAAACACTTTAATTAATCTTTTCTTGTGCAGAATCCTTTTAAATCATTTGCTTTCATTTTTAGAACAAAGAAAATTCAGTATCTTTTTTCGCTGAATTTCCCTGATTATTACACAAAACTATTGGCATTAAGTGACACGTTCCTGTTCAAAATAAACAAATAAATCTTTATCTTCCTTTTGAAAATTATGGCTTCAAAGAACGTCCTAACAGGTAAGAGAGATTTTTGATTCATTATTATTATTCACTGACACACAAACAAAGCTTATGGTAAGTCAAGATAGACAACCACTCCTGGTTTTTTTAGCAGAAATCGGAATACATTTTTCAACTTCTTGTTACTTTATACTATTTTCCCCCTTGGTATGTATTGGTCCTTTAGTGTCATTGTAGCATCTTTCCAAACCGTATTATGGTTTAATAATCACACAAGCAGCTTCTTTGTACAATAAAAATTACACTGAAGCAACCAATGAAGTTTCCCATTGTGACTGATCCTGGACAAAGTGGTCTTTTGTGATCCACTAGGGCCAGACAATTTGATGTTTGCAGTCATATAAACAGATTTTGCAAGCAAAGCTTCTTCTTATTCTGTTTCCACAGTTTTTTTAAGCAGCTTTCCTCAAGCCACATGTATAGGTACTCTTCAGCATATGATTATTCAATCAACAATCATTCAAAGTTACAAAGGTGCTGAATGAAGGGACTTACAGACCCGAAGTTACAGCCAATGAAGAACCCCTGGTCACATGACTGCAATCTTGGCAATCTTGGCAACCTGTCTGCATTTGTGACTAGTTGCCAAGCACCCATTTGCAATCTTCCCTGCCGGCTTCCCCAGAAAGTCAACAGGGAAGCCAGCAGGAAAGGTTGTAAGCTGCTGCTGCTGCCTGCCAAGACGCCTCCCCCTCATATCTGGGGGTCAGCCAAAAAACTTTGTGCTGAAGCCTAAGCAGGATTTTGCATGGGGCATTTTCAACCATCTCCTCCCCCCCCCCCGAGTTGAGAGGACTCCCTCTCGACTCTGGGAGCTGGCCGAAAATATTCCATGCCAAAATTCAAGCAGAATTTTCAGCCAACAAGGATTTTTAGCTCCAGAGAGGAGAGGCTTCAGAAGATTGAAATTTCAAGCAGTTTTGAGGACCTTGTGCACTCTCCCTGACTCTTCCCCATATCTCCTCACTCCCTGCTCCACCCAGCAGAGCCTCAAGCTTGCAATCTCCTGCCAACTTCCCCACTGATTTGATTGTGAGAAGCCAGCAAGAAGTTGCCTCGCCTAGCAACCAGGGCATTCCCTTAACAAAGGCAACCGGGGCTTCCTGGATTGCTGCTGCTAAGTGGCTGCAGTTTAAGACTGCATTGCTTAATAATAAGACTCCCAGTCCCATCTTAGGTCAAGGACTATTTGTGTGATATCACGGAGAACCGCGATTGAATATCATAGAACCAGGGCTATATAGACTGACTTAAGCTCTTTGAGAAAAGCGGAAATATAGCTCTAACAAATGACTAATATTCCTAAACATGTAACTTTCCTCTTCAGGAAATACAGGTAGTCCTCAGCTTATGATCACTTTTGGAATTTCAGTCATAAATCATTGTGACTATAAGTCAAGGCGCCCCTGTGACTGGACTTGGTTTTATAAATCATAAAGCAAGTCACTGTGGCTGTTAAGTGCACCGTGTGGTTGTTAAGAAAATCCAGAATATTAAATAGGCAGGACCCAGATTGTTGGGGGCAATATGCTGACTCTGTAAACTGCTTAGAGGGGGCTGTAAAGCACTGTGAAGCGGTATATCAGTCTAAGTGCTATTGCCATTTTCCAAATCAGCAAAAAAAAACACTGAAAAACGCAGTCACATGACTGCAGGACACTGATAATGGTCATAAATGTGAGCCAAGTGCCCAAAATGTGGTAACGTGACCATGGAATAGGGCATATTTACGTGGCAGTAATAACTTCGATGAGGGTCATAAGAAACTTTTTTGAAGTCCATCATAACTTTGAACAATCATTAAACGACCAGTCATAGGCTGAAGACTACTTGTATAAAAATTATTTTGGCAATCAAAATCATTGTTATGAAGCATTAATTTCAAAAGGAAATGGCATGATGAAAGGAAACTAACTACAGAAAGATAAAAATCCTATTACAGCTACACTGTCTTTTAAAATAGCAAGGAAATACAATCATGGATCACATATAGTTAAGTCTCTTGTATTTAACTCCAATATCTCAGGCTCTTGTAAACTAGACAGAATTCATGAGTAGCAGGACATATAAAAGAGACAATTTTGAATATATATATAGCCTCTTACTCTCTGCTACTGATGGTTCTACCTTTGGTTCAAACAAAATATTTCACAGACTTGTCTCTGAAGAGTCACCATCAGTATCTGCAAAAAAATAAAAAAGTTTGTATTTGCTTTCATGGTTCCCAGAGTAAATACTAAATATCCTCTAAGGAGAAATTATAAGTAATAATTGGGTTGTTCTGTCTGTATTGAACACTATTCTTAATCTAAGTTTATGAGTAACAAAGAAGATGCTTTACATATAACTTGAAAATGAAAGTGTGCCTCTGACAACTTGTTTGTGCACAATATAATATTTTCCTGAAAGTGTGTAAGTCAGAAATAATTTTTCCAGTTCCTTTTTGAATAAATATTTAGCTAACATCCCCAGATCTTCTTGTACAACATTTAACTATTAATCCACTGTTATCCCATTGCAATGAAAAGACTCTTGGAGGCTTACGTAGAACATAAATCAGATAAAACTTTCCTGGTATAAAATTCCATAAAAACAACAAAAATGAATACCCACCAAACATAAAAAATATAATGAAAATAGAAGTTAAAGATAGGGTTAAATCAGGACAGTGTTTTCTCATATATAATGATACAAGTACAGGACCTTCTACTCCTATTTATCAATGCCCTTGACCCCAGGAAGAAATTGTCTAATTTGAAAAGAGGAGCATGTGAAATTATTTCCTGTGCAAAGTATATTTCAGGTATAGCAGATGAATCCCCTCTGCAAGCCAATATTATCTATTGATACATCTAGTCATTTTAAAGATTTTGAAAGTTATAAAACCGAGAATAACGTTCATGGTACCCTTGAGAATAGCAAAAGAAGAGGAAGCAGTTATCAGTTACCAGTAGAAAAAAATGACATCTGCAAAACTTTAATTTCCATGGAAGTTGCTCTCTATACCCCAAAAGATACATGAAGCATACACAAATACCTCAGACTGGTGCCACTGACAAATCTGAAGCGCCCACCTGGGGTCCAACAGGGATGAAGGCCAGATAAATTTGGTGCTGCGTGAGATACATGACAATACAACTTATCACAAACTAAGCATTTACAGCATAGTATTATAATTATGCTTTCACTGTCATTTTAGTCACAAATTACAGTACAATAAAACAACCGGCACACCTCTTCCAAGCTTACTAATACACTCAAAAGAACACAATCCCCCACCCTTTTAAATGTGAATTAAACATTTACCCTGGAACCTGTTTCGCTACTGATACACCCTTTCCCCCCCCCCAATCTTGTGCCTTCCCAATATGTTGCATTACAGCAGTGGTTCTCAACCTTTTTAATGCCGCGACCCCAACTGGTCATAAGTCGAGGACTAAACCGGTCGTAAGTCGAGGACTAAACCGGTCGTAAGTCGAGGACTACCCAACCGGTCGTAAGTCGAGGACTTTCCCTGCCCGGGAGCGCCGCACAAGCGTGGTTCCGCCCCCTGCGCCGGCCGAGGCGTAGCTGGCAAGCGGCAGAGACGGAGCAGGCCAACCACCAGCTGGCCCAGCCCAAGGGAGGTAAGGCACCTGCCGGAAAAGGGGGAAAAAATGGCGGACAAAAAAATGGCGGACAAAATGATGGCAGACAAAAAAAAATGGTGGACAGCCTTGCTTGGCGACCCCTATGAAATGGTCGATCGACCCCAAATGGGGTCCCGACCCACAGGTTGAGAACCACTGCATTACAGCAATCTACTACAATTCCCATAATTCCCAGTTCAGCCAGCTCAATCCTGGGACTTGCATCTGGAGGACCCCAGACTGAGATTTATTTTAAACCCGATATTCCTATGAAGGGTCCCCCTGACTCGGCGTGAGGCTCCCGTCACCAGGGTGGAGCCTTCCAGAGCGGAGCGAACGCCAGCAGCCTCCCCAGCGCGCGGGCCTGGAAGGGAAGCATTGTCCTCCCCGCCCCTCCCCGCCAGCTGATCCGCGCGGGACTGCCACGCGCAGGGCCAGCCCGGCGCGGGGGGGGGATGGGGCAGGGGAGGGGAAGAAGGCATCTCGCGGACACACAGCGACCCTCCACCCGCTGAGACCGCCGTTCCAAAAGGGAGGGCGGGAGGGGGGCTTCCTCTTTTCTCGCGAGAAAGGGTTAAGCGATTCAGCCCTCTGGCAATAACGATGTACCTGTGAAAAGCCGGGGAGACGGAAGAAGAATAGAAGAAAGTACTACAACCCCGTGAAGTGAAGTTTCCGGGAGAAAGCCGGAAGTTGCGTCCGCTCAATGGTCCGCTCAGGTTACTACCATGAGCGCGGGGGGGGGGAGGAAATTGATTCAAGTGTTCTCCCCACCCGGAAAAGAGATGGTTTATTCCGCTGGCAGAGCCAGCGAAACGGTGCTCTTTCAATTGGGAAGAGCCTTTGTGTCAGCCGTATCGCATCGCAGGCAGGTGACAGTTTGCTACCGTAGCTGCGAGAGTCGAATTAGACAATTTGACACTTGGTCTCTGTCTCACGGATCTCTTGTCTTGAAGATCGAGGCAATTTGAAATGCAATTTAAAAATTTGTATCGCATCCAATATGTGTTTTGTGAAAGACAGTCTTTTTGCATTTCATGGCGCTCTGATTTCTTTGGTTATTTACCCGCTATACGGTTAGGTTATTTGCATTGCAGAACTCCAGACAATCATTGGATGGAAGCAAAAGATAAATTTTCTTCATCTCTTTGCCACCGTCTAGTGCAGTAGTGGCGAACCTATGGCACGGGTGCCAGAGGCGGCACTCAGAGCCCTCTCTGTGGGCACGTGTGCCGTCGCCCCAGTCCTAGGCCTTCAGCTGGGTTTTATAAAACCTTTTCGCTTTAGGCCTTCGCTGCCATGTGCAAAAAAAAAAGGTTCAATCAATCAGTCAATTTTAACTTCTCGCGGAAAAAAAAAGATCTTGCAAAGTTGGAATTGATTGATTGAATTTTTTAGTCTCACCCAGTCTGCCATTACCACCGTAGCCACGCCCACCCAATGGGCCACACCCAGCCAATGGGCCACACCCACCCGGCACCCGATGATGCATAAGTGGGTTTTGGGTTGCAGTTTGGGCACTCGGTCTCTAAAAGGTTCGCCATCACTGGTCTAGTATATCACATCCATACCGAACAGGATGTTGCGTTTCAAAGTAAAATGCAGAAAAAGAATAAGATATAATTCATGCATAAGATACCAAAAGGAAATGGCTATAACTAGTACTTCCCCATGCCTGTCATTGCCTGCGAATCATTTCTCTAGTCTGTATCCTTCAAATTGTAGCTCTAATATAGCTAGTTTAGAGGAACTCCATTTTGTTAAAAACACCCTTTATTTTACTCATTTATGTTCTTAGATATTTTCTGGGTCTTACATCCTTGCTCTAAAATTCCTGCAAGACCACATGGTACATGATAGCCTTATCAAAGAACAGGTACCACTGCTTGCAATCATCTGACCGTTAGCACTCTTTCTGAGAGTAGTGGCTTCAAAGACTCTCAGAAAGAGTGCTAATGACCAGATGACTGCAAGGATTATAAATCCTTCCATTCTCCCCCATTCAGTCAGAACTGAAGAAGATTCTTAGATGAGAAGCAAAACATCTTCTAGCAAAAAAGAAAGTTCAGTTGCCTTCTGAAAGAAAGCTACCTTTGGGATAAAGCAGGCTATTGTCTTTTCTAGCAGTGTAAAAAGACTCAATTGATGAACATAACAAACAACAATTGTTTATGATAACTAGTGCTAGTATCAGAACAGAAGAGCAGAGGGAGAGACATGCTTGGAAATACAAACATTTGAAGTCTCCAGAATGGCTGCCACAGTAAGGTCAGCTCCCTCATCTAATCTGATGTTAGCGTTCTTTGTATGAAGATTGTATAATAAATTCTGATAAAGACTTATAATCCATAACCCTGTAGACCTGGTGGCTCTTTGACATTTCTTTGGCCAGAAACTAAGTGACCTGTAAGTTTGTGCATATCAATAAACTATACTTTGTTGTAATATCTCCAAATGCTTGAGCTCTTTATTCAGTGGATATCTTTTCCACAACAGTCTTCAAGACAGGATTTTAGAACATGTTACTTATAGATAAAAAATGATTCAGCCCCAATAACTATAGCACGAAAATGCCCTATTGACCTTTTAAGGGACTCATGCTCGTGGTAGAGCCTTTGCCTTGTTGCCCAGCCCACTATATTTAGCTATTCTAGTTTTATGATTTTTTTGTTCTGTTCTGATCCTTCAAGACTTGCTGTACATGCAATATAGGTGATGATGTGACAGAATATTGCATGTATGTTCTTACAGGTGGCTTTCTACCACTGCAAACCTGCAAAGCTGCTAAGCACAGTGTTCCATACAGTATCCATTTTTGACTTGGGCTGCTGGAAAATTCAGGCCTCTGGCTTCTGCAGAGTCATATGCTTACATGATGCCGGATTTTGCAAAACAGCACTCCAGTATTATGTGAGCTCCTTACGGAAAAGAGTCTAGGATTCTTCTAGAAAACCATTAGACCAATTTTTTAGCAATGTTAAGCAGCATTGTATCTGTGTTTTAAATAGCGATGTGAGCTGTTCAAATGGAAAGTGTGACTAAATTGGGAAAGAGGTTGAGTTCTGTTAACAATGGATGACTGGTTTCGTCCCAACTGATTGCATAAGGTTTCCACTGCTTCCACTGACAAGAGGTTTCACGTGGCTGGTTTCCTAGTGTATTTATTGCTACAAGAGGGAAACGTTTGGGGTTCTTCCAACAGCATTTTGGGTACTCCCATGGAATAATGTTAGGTACCTCTAGCCCAGTGGTTCTCAACCTTTTTAATGCCGCGACCCCCAACCGGTTGTAAGTCGAGGACTAAACCGGTCGTAAGTCGAGGACTACCCAACCGGTCGTAAGTCGAGGACTTTCCCTGCCCGGGAGCGCCGCACATGCGTGGTTCCGCCCCCTTCGCCAGCCGAGGTGTAGCTGGCAAGCGGCAGAGACGGAGCAGGTCGACTACCAGCTGGCCCAGCCCAAGGGAGGTAAGGCACCCGCCGGAAAAGGGGAAAAAAATGGCGGACAGCCTTGCTTGGCGACCCCCGTGAAATGGTCGATCGACCCCAAATGGGGTCGCGACCCATAGGTTGAGAACCGCTGCTCTAGCCACAACCACATGCAGCATTAATTGATTTTGGATATTTGGAAGCTGGGTGAAATTGACAAGAGTTCTTCAATTTTGCCATCTGTTCTCTGAATCCAATATGAGTCCACTTGACAGAGACTCAGGATAAAGCAGGAGAGAAGACTCTTAGTCTGCTTTGCAAGATCCCTCTTGCTTCATTCCAGATGATTTCTCTACCCTAACAACCTATCACCAAGGCTGCTTTGGAAAAGGCCCAAGTGACAGGTTACTGTTGCAGAGCATCTTCAGGCTGGCAACCTCTCACTCAGGAAGTCTGAAAAATGGCTAAATCCCAGGCACCTGGTCCTAATGGTTTAACCACATGTTGAGGATAATTATTTTTCTGGCTGGGTGAATTTAGGTAATGAAGTCAGAGAGATCTACCAATCGTTTCCTGTAAATTGCTCCCCAGTAAAGCTATAAGAATAGGACTGCTCATCACTAAAGCAGGTTAGAGTATGGTCATTAGGGCAGCACAAATTATAATGGCATATATTTCTGTTGACTTAAGGAGAGAAAGGAAAGAAGGGAAGGGACATTAACACCATTGTGTTAATTGCCTTAAAAGTAACTGCATATTTTAAAATCGTATGTACAAAAATAGTCCTGCAGAGATAATTATAATGTTTTGGAGTCCCACAAAAGAGAGAACAATAGCTCTAAAGAACAGAAGAGAGAGTCAGCAGCAGGTAGTCCTTCCAGGGCTTGGGGAAAGGAAACTAGCACTTCATCAACCTCCTGTTTCTCTTGCAAAGTGTGGGAAGTCAGATCCCCCCCCCCAGAAAGAAATATTCTTGGAAATATTTAAAAGGCAGAATATATTTCCCTAAAGGATTTTAAAAGCAGAAACCAACCCCGCCCCCACGTCCCTCTGTCCCAAACAAAAACCAAGTCTGTAGAATTGCAGATGTAATAATCTTGTCAGAAAGACTGCAGTCAGGAAACTGGGATTAGGAAAAAAGATCCCTAGAATCAACAACCCCTCACACCAAAAATCTAAGAGTCATCAGCCACAGCCCCAGGGAAGCAGGATATGACCTTTGAGACATAATAGGATTAACCCACCACCATCAGAATACCAGAAAGGCACACTCAGACTCAGGTCAAAGTTCATGCCACAGGAACAACTCCAAACAAAAGGCTCCAGAGGGTATAAAACCCCACTCCCTACATGTGCTCACTGATCTTTTCTTCCAGAGCCATCTCTCTGTCTGGCTCTCCTCTTCAATAAACTGCAATCTTCTTTCTAAAGCAGTCGCCATGTTGTTTATTCCTGGCTTGGACTGAACCATGATAAAAACTTTTCCTTCAACAAAAGTTTATCTTCTCCCTTTTTCTGCCTTACTCAGTCAAATAAAAAATGGAAATGCAAATATTCTCCTCCAGCATTTTCTTTCTTTGAAGGAAAAAAGTTTTAGAGACTTAAAAATGCCCCTTTCTTTATTCCATTCTCCCTTCCAAATAGTGACAAAGCTGAAAATAGTCACATTAAAATAAACTGAGAAAAAAAATATGAAGCACATTGACTTCAGCAGTGTTTATTTCTGGGCAGATATGGAGGGCATCAAACAAGAAGAGAAAAATGATAAACCTGAATAGGATGAAGATGGGGGTGTTTGATTTTATCTTGTCATGGTTATGAGGCATTAGAAATGAGGTCCCCAACCCCCAGTCCGTGGACCAGTACCGGGCTGCAGCATGCCAGCAACCAGTCTGCACAAACAAGCAAAGCCCCATCCATGGGATGCAGGCAGCACACAAAACAATGCACCCTCTGGTTCACGAAAAAAACCTCTCTCCGTGGAACTGGTCCCTGGTGCCCAAAAGATTGGGGACCTCTGCATTAGAAGTTAATTTTTAATGGAGGAAGGAGGAAATTAACAGAATAACAGAGTTGAAAGGGACAATGGTTCAAACCCCTGCTCAGGCAGGAAACTCTATACCATTTCAGATAAATAATTGTCCAATTTCTTCTTAATAACCTCCAGTGTTGGAGCACCCATAATTTCTGGAGGCGGGTCATTCCACTGATTAATTGTTCTAACTGAAGAAACAAAAA